TCTCAAGTTGAATCTGTTAGCTATTAGTTCTTCATCTTATTTATCCCATAATTATATAAAAATTAGAAACAAAGATTAAAAAAAAATAGAATACAATCTTTCTTAAATTTTATTTTTTTTTATAATAAAGGTTTGCTATCCTTCATCTTGATTTTGATGGATATGATTGATAAAAAACTTTGACCTTTTCTACTATATTTATAAGATTTTTTATTGGCTTCCATGTAATTTTTCTAATATTATATCTATGTTAATAAATAAGATATTTTAATTTAAGTTAATGTTGCTTCAAGTTTAAAACTTCTTCTATCTAAAATTATTGATTATTGTCTATTTTTACAAGAAACAATGGTATTTTTCTTCTTTCCAAAACATTCATTGTCTTATATAACTCCAAAAGATATACGTAAAATATAGGATGGATTTTCATAGACTCTAGTAGATGTAATCAATAAGTAATTGGATTGACTTGTTTACAAATAAGAAATATTTGAAGTCTACAATAATTCAACTTATTACAAAGGCAAATAATTTTAATATTATGAAAAAGTAATCATATCTTATGATCAATATAGAAATGAAGTTGTTTCCTGTAATAGGCATTTCTATTATTTTTTTGGTGTTCTTAAGCCTCTTTTAGTTGCACCTTCATTGTTGTATATAGCTTAGATAAATGATTTGTTAAATCTTTCACCCTAAGATTGTCAACTTTTGAAAAGTAAAAAACATCAAGTTGTGGATGATAACTATAATTTGTAAAAAAAGGTATTTGTTGCATAGAAAAATGTATCATATTATTATAAGTAAATTCTACCAATGGCAAAAGAGTTGTTCAATCATCTTATTGATAGTTGATGATTAACCTCAAATACTACTCTAAAACTTATTTTGTATGCTTTGTTTGTCCATCAATTTGAGGATGGATATTCAAAGATAGTTTTATGTCTACCTTTAGAATCTTGAAAATTATTTTGTAAGATCTTAATACAAACTGAGTTTTGTTATTTGATATAGTATTCTTAGCCAATCTATGATAGTGATAAATATTGTCAAAGAAAAGCTTAGTTGTTTCTTCACTTGTCATAGATTTTTTACATATTATCAAATGTACCATCTTGGTGAAACAATCTACTATCATAAATATAAAATTATAGGAACTTGATATAAGAATATTCATAATAAAATCTATAGAAATAGAAGACCATGGTTGTTTTGAAATGAGTAATAGTTGAAAAATTCTATAAGGTTGATAATAAAGAATTTTTGATCTTGAGTAAATATTACAAGATTGTACAAAATCTTTAACCACCTTTTATAAGTCTTTGATAAAGATCCAATAGTATTTGGAAAATTCCAAAAAAATATTGGACATCTCTTATTGTTTTTGAGATCTTTCAATTATAATAGTTTAAACTTTCTTAAGATCCATCATAAGTCTATTATTTCAAATGATGTATCTTAAAAAGTCAACTTTAGTAGTACAAAATATATATTTTTCTATCTTGGTATAGAATCCCACATTTCTTAGTTTTATAATATACAGCAAATACAAAGTTCATATTTTTTTTGTATTTTTATAATAGATTAAAATATCATCTAGATAACAAACAACAAAATCATCCAAAAATTTTCAAAAGACATCATTCATTAGATATTAAAAATTTATTAATGCATTTATAAGTCTAAAAGGTATGATATTATATTCAAAATATCAATACATCATTCAAAATACAATCTTCTATTCATCTCTTTCTTTGATACATACTAGATTGTATGCTCCTTATAGATCTATTTTTGTATAGATCTTAGCTTGATTCAACTAGTCAAGAAATCTAAATATCAAAGGTAGTGGATATCTATTTTTGATAGTGATCTTATTGAATCATTGATAATCGATACATATCTATAATGATCTATTTTTTTTCTTCACAAATAAAATTAGAGCTCTTACTAGAAATTTGAAATAGTATATGAAATTCTTGGCAAGATTCTCTTCAATATATTCTTTGAGTTCAATCACCTCATTTTATGAAAAACTATAGATTGGTCCAAATGGCAATTGAACTCTTTTTTGAATATCAATTGAATAATTATAGAAACATTATTTTGAAAGAATATCTAAATTTTTCTTCTCAAATAAATCTTAAAAATCTTGATATTGGCTAAAAATGCCATTTGAAGACTTTCTACTATTAAAAACAAGTGTGGCATAAATGATAGAAGGTGATCCTTCTTTTGTAGCATGTAAGCTCTTATATCTATAAATATAAGTTTGGTTGACTAAACTTATAATTTTTTACTTGATTAATTACATTCTTAATTATGCTTTCTAAAAAATTAAGACTATGAAAAATCCAATCTATTTGAGGATTGTACTTTTATAACTACAATAAATCTAAAATAATTGGATTAAAAGTTCTAATGATATTAAATACTATATAGCTATTATGACCATTAGTTACTACTTCTAAAAGAAATGTTTCATGAATAATATTTTTAGATGACAATGGATCACCATCATTTACTTCTATATGAAGAGATTTTATTTTCTTTACTAAAGATATGTTATATCTTTTAATAAATTCTTCATCTAAAAAACAAGTTGAGGCTCTTAAAACTAGTAAGGCAAAGGATTTTTGATGTTTAGGTCCTAAATTAACATTATTGTAAAATAAAAAGAAGATTCTGAAGAGATAATAGGATCTTTATTAGGTATTGTGCAAGATTCTAGTTGCACAATCTCTATTATAGCCAGACAAATTTATTTTCCAACATAGTGGCTTTTTTGACAATCATACTTTTTATTTTATAATTACGTTGCTTCTTTGAATAATATCAAGTAGTGTGCTTTGGTTCTATACAATATAAACATAATCTTTCTTGATAATGACGAGTCTTTTTTTGCTTAATAAGAATTTTAAAACATTGTCATATTACATGAAGTCTTACTTGAGAATGCATCAGGCACTTGGCTATAGAAGGTAGAAGGAAAATTGCAAAAACAATATCCTAACAATTCTAATAAAATCTTAAATAAACTCTAATTAAACCTTAATAATATTAATCAAGCTTTAATCAAATCTAAAAAAAATCCACAAGAAATCCTAAAAATATATTTTTTTAAAAAATAAATAAATCTTAAATAAATTTTAATCAAATCCTATTTTAATCCTAATTGAAATCTTAATGGATCTTAATTAAATCTTAGGTCAAATTCTAATTAAATCTTAAACTTTAAATCAAATCTTAAATAAATCATAAATCATAAATCAAATCCTAGATAAATCCTATATCTTAAATAAATCCTAAATCAAACCTTAGACAAATCCTAAATCTTAAATAAACCCTAAATCCTAAACCAAATCCTAACTAAAATCTAACCAATTCAAACCAACCCTAAGGTAGATTAGAATCCCAATATCTATTGATTAAATTATTGATCTTTCTTAAAAATTTATATACCTTTCAATTTCTTAGTTAAAAAAAAGTACAAAAAATTTGAAAATAATTGCACTCACCAAATAGAAGAAAAATCCTAAAATCCGCTTGAGTATTGGCCAACTTCCTTCTCCAATCTAAATGTTGAACTTCCAATGAGGTTGAAGCTCAATCACAAGTTATACTTGATTAATAAATCTTCAAAACTTTGATGTCATACCATTAAATTTCTTAAATAAAGTAATTATTAATTTTCTAATATTTATGGTGATGCTTGAATTATACTCTATCCTAAAAATAAAAAAAAAATGATTTGATGTAGATATTGAAGCAATTCCAATCATCTCTGAATCTTCACTTCTAACCAATCTTATCACTTCTAACCAACCTTATCACTTCTAACCAATCTTATCACTTCTTGAAGTAGTAAATTGAATTGATACATTGTAAGAAATAGTTCCTTCATTTGTTCCTATATTTGTGCAATTGCATATCAATAAGTTTTACTATAATAACATAATAGAAAAAAAAAAAAAAAAAAAAAAAAAAAAATGTCTAATATGACTTAAGGCAAGTAAAAGAGAACACTAAACAACAAAGAAAATTCTAAGAACAATATTAATTTAGAAGTGGATAATCTGCAATTTTTTTTATACTTATGTCTTATTAAAAAAAAGTGAAAATCTACCTTTAATTAAGAGAAGAAAAGCTCTAATATTGTAAATGTACTCTTATTAATTTATCAAGGATATGAATCACAAAACAACCACAAAATCAATACACTTTTTTATTACTAAAAATAATTAATGTTCATTTAAAGATAGTTATAATACTAAAATTAAAATAACTACTTTCAAAGATAAGAACACTAGAGACTCTTAAAATAAGGCTAAGAATAAGAAAGACATTTACAAGAGTGAGAAAGGCCTCATTCTTCTCTGTGTACATATTATCTAATTAAAGAGTTACATGACAACGTTTTATAGGTCATCTATCATGTGTTCAACTCAATGGCCAAGTTTTCAATCTATCAAACAACTAAAAATACTTATAAAGTCAAATTTGCATCTATAAAATTTATAAAAATCTTATTCATAAGATATTATCAAATTATTTAATTTTACTTATTTTTACTTAACTTTTTTATTTTAGTAATTATTAATGACTTTAAATATATATATATATATATATATATATATATACATATATTGGTCTTTAATAATATAAATATCAAAAATTAACTATTTTGAATCTAATTTAAAATAAGATATTTTTAAACTTTTCTAAACAACATTAAATAATACTCTCTTTTTATCTATTTGTTGTAAAAAGTGGCACTAAAAAAAATGTGGACACATGGAATGTGATTTCACTTTCAATTTGAACCCTCTACAAATAAAATATACGCAGGCATGTATAAAAATACGCGATATTCATACGATGAACTAGGTTTTGTAGCAGAGCGCCTGATTTGAAACCCGTGAGGAGGGGAGGCACCGCGACGTCGCCGTTGATGGACGGATGGGGCTCGGGGGAGAATCGAGATCGTCGCATGCTAATCTGAATAGCGTGTGTCCTCCGATTTTTGCTGCGCGTCGTCGCATCGCGGGGGCGATTATGTCACCATTATTTGCGAGCTTCACATCACGCATCCGATCTGCGGGGTGGGGGACATCAAACCCTAATTCTTACTGCCTGATGCGAAGCATGTTGGCTCTGCCAATGCGTTTGCTCATCCACGAGCTCATGTGCATTGAATACGGATCTGATGCTTCCACTGTTGCGGCTCATCGGCGTGCGTGACAGGCCGGTGACGAGTCTCAAGCGGATGGATGTTCGTTTGTGAAGTTAGGCCAAGTCATGGATCGGTGAACTGGTTGGGTGGGCCGTGTTGGTGAAAGTCGGTCTCGGGAGCTTTGTTGGGGGTGAGTGAGGAGGTGGGGCGAGGCGGGAGAAGATCATGAGGTCAATGCATTGCAGGGCTTTGCTGAGGGTCCTTGCTGAGCAGCGTTTGTTGACGTCTCAGAATGAAACTTCTGCCGTGCTCCGTCGTGCTATTGCTCCGGAATGCAAGGGTGTCTCTTCCTTTTTGAGTCGCCAGGTTGACTCTGGTGCAGATCGTTGCTCGCAATGGCTCCCAGCAATGGCTTCTGTGGGTGAGTGTGGGAATTCGAGGAATTCCAGCAGCCAGCCCCTGTTTGCTATGTGGGGTGCGGCGTTTCTGGCAGGTGGAGTGGCCCTAGCAGTGAGTGGATCAGACGGGGTCGTTTCTGCCGAAGGTGCGGAGCTACCGGCAGCTTCCCCCATGGGCAAAAGACCTGAATCAAAGCTAGCTAAGCCCACCTTCTTCCTTAGCGGTTGGTTCCTTTCCATACTCCTTAATTACTTGATTTGGATGCCCGGGGCATTCCAGTTTACTTCCTGGTCATGTCGTCGTGTTCATTACTTCTTTGCCCAATTGCATGAAGAAACAATGAAAATTCCAATCAGCATGGCAAACTATGATTGCGCAAACAGTGACGGAATTATCGCTTTCTGTCAATAGTTTCCTGGTTAGGACGTTCTAATGGGATACTTTACTCCCCGTTGCACAGGTGATTGTTGTTTCCTTTGAATTACATCCTTGATAGCCCAATTTCTTTTTAATGCAAATTCAGTGACTGTGTTGAAATACCTCAAAAAAACACGTTGAATCAAGTGAATCTTGTGCGGAAGAAGGATGCAATTTCTGATTTTTGCTGTGGCGCTCGAGTTGACAAGAGAGACGCTTCAAATGTCTTACTCACTGCAGACTCTGGGGACTGTGGACTTGGGTTACAGAGGCGTTCAGACGGCGCATTTTTTTCAATTATGAGAGACGACTTCGTTTGCGTAGCACTCCTGAGAAGGTACACAATCTTGTCACCTTAGTACATTGGGTCTTTTCACTCGGGACATCCTTACCTACATTAGAAAGTATCTCCCTTGATTATCTTCGAACTGATATCTATCTCTTGGTTCTCTTGGTTCTCTGTTGCGCAAACTCAGAAACTGATATGATTATAAACCTACTCACTACGAGATTTTAAGGGAAAAAAATGACGTACAGGTCTTCGAGTATTTCTCGTCGGTACGTCAGGACGATGGCCAACTTTTCATGACAGCCGGCGATTTGATGAGAGCAGCAGTTCCAGTTTTCCCACCATCGGGCTCGGACGTGGTGAGAGAGGGGTATCTTGGCGGTGAGAGGCCCCCAGGAGATTTGAAATGTTCTCCTTCTAAATTCTTCATGTTGTTTGATACGGATGGAGACGGATTAATATCATTTTACGAGTAAGTTTCTTTATCATGATGAATTCCAACACTGGTTCTCATTAACATTGATTTTTCCTAGGTGGACAATTCGTGAGATTGCTTCAATTTATCACCGTTCGTTCCAGATAAAATTTTATTTTCAATTTTTTGTTACAGGTTCATCTTCTTCATCACGCTTTTAAGTGTACCCGAAAAGAACTTCAGTGCAACGTTCCGAATGTTTGATTTAGACGGGGACGGGTAAGACTTGTAGTTGTTTGTAGTATTTTTCTGCACAGCACTTGCAAAGATTGTTCATACTACTAACCTCATTGGAGGTACGTATGGAGGATGATACTAACTGTAGCATCGCACTTCCCGAAGACTATTGTGGTGAACACTTCGTTGTTTGGTTAGAGCCGTTGATGCCATTCTCAGTTGCCATGTGCATTTGATGTTTGGATTCATACGTGGACGGGGTTGTTCCATTGCAGGATGATTGACAGAGACGAGTTTAAAAAGGTAATGACTTGGGTGCGTGAGCGAACTCGTGTCGGAAAATCTCACGCTCATGGTCTCCGCACTGGATTTAGCGTGTCTGGAGATGTAGAAGATGCTGGCTTGGTTCATCTCTTTTTCGGAAGCGATGGCAAGCGACAACTACCAAGAGCTCAATTCGAGAAATTTTTGAAGGACCTTCACGACGAGGTATCAAATCCATACACATTGCAGACAAGTGTTCCTGTTTCTTTGTATGAAGGTTTACATTATACTCAATCTTGACAACTGTGAACTAATGTGACTCCACGTTGTGGAATTCATGTAACAGATTATTCGTCTTGAATTTGCTCATTATGACTTTGAGAACCGGGGGAGCATCTCAGCTATGGATTTCGGTTTGTCGATGACTGCTTCTGCAGACTTGTCGAAAATGAACCACTACCTTGACCGCGTCCAAGATCTTGCACATGATCCTCATTTTTCCTCTATCCGCATAACCTTAGAGGTGAAGCTGCGTTGTACCTGAGTTAGTTGAATGTCTCGTCTTCCTCACATGGCCTTACGCGTTGCTTTCTCTCAGTGCCTGATGTGGCTTTATTGCTTATCTCGACTAATGTATTTTTTGATCTTGGATGGGTCACTGCTTTCGTCTTTGATCACGACTGGAGTTGTTAGTGGCATTTCCCTGTTATTGAGATGCTAGGTACTCTGAGAAATCAGATCTGCTTTGTTGACTACTATTCATAAGTAATTCTGGGCTTAACAGACTTGAAACACTATACAGTACCTTTTCCTTTTACTGATTATGAAGTGGGCTATGCTGCAGGAGTTCATTCAATTTGCACAATTGCGGAAGAAGATTCCAGTCATGGCATTGGCAATCTCCAGCTTTGGCAGAATTCAGGGAACTTTGTCAAAGTCTGATGTACAGCGTGCTGCTGCCAAGGTATGTGGCTCACATAGCCTTGACACATAATGAAATTGGTATCCAGATTAACCAAATTTCACGTGCGCCGAACTATATTGTTCAGCCATTTCGTGCATTTAACTCTTCGATCATTATTCTGGATACAAATGACCATCGTGCATGTCTGAATTGCAGATTTGTCATACTCCTATTTCAGATGCAGTGGTCGATGTGATATTTCACATTTTCGATACCGATGGTGATGGTGTGTTAAGCATGGAGGAGTTCCTGAGCGTGCTACAGCAAAGAGAAAGGGAATTGATAGACCCAAGTGACACTGGAATTATACAGTTCATCAAGTGCTTGGGGAAATGTGCAGGGAACTGCCAAAAGCCGTGGACCATATGAGTTAAGATGCGCATATCCTCAGTTCATAGGACTAGTGAAAGATCAAAGAGGCTCTATCTGCAATATTCGACTACGGTTGAAAAAGCGTGCTAATTTCATGGGTTAGAAAGGCGAACAAATTAGCGTTAATTGGTTACGAGGATCAATAGTGGTCAGGATAGTGTTATGAGGCACGAATGCATTCCTAAACTGTGTACTAGCTATCACATCCTTCAAAATAACTAGCGTGATCCGTGCTTTTGAGCACCCATTATTAGAATTTGTACATCTGTGACTTTGAGGAGCCTTAAAAGCAAATTGACAGGTCCACTCATTCACACGATTCGTCGATCAACGTTTCAATGTCCATGAAAGTCGTGATGAGGATGTGAAGTTTAATTGGACCAATTTGTGTTAGTCCCGACTGCATCAAAGAATTCAACAATTCCAACTGAAGAGCCACTGGTAGTGCGTCGAAATTACTGCATAAATTACACAAGTTCCATGATCAGCTTCTTCTGCTACATGGACATGATTTTGACAGGCAATCAAAGTTTGCGGTATCTTTTGCAACTGTTGTTTGACACTGTCACTTTGCTTGTGTCACAATGTGGTTGCTGGCATACGACATTGAAGTGTTTCCTGAGTGCGGTAGGCTGACATTACAGGTACCAGGGTAAGGATATATATAGCTTGTGAAACAAGCTAGATAACGATGCTTGCTGCAAATGCGTGTAGGTTATTGTCAGAGTAAAATCTATCTTTTTCAACACACGTACACAAGCCTAATGGAAAAGTCTCATATGCACCTAGATGATTTCCATGTGAAACGCCTATGGAATGAAAACTCTTTTGTGAACAGCCAGCTCCAGTGGACAAAATCTCTCATTCAACAAATTGCTCTTACACAATTGTCAACATTTCCAGGTATCCAAGTCCCCGGCATGCGCTGACCAGGGTTGAACGATGATCATGGAACTGTATGCAAACACAACAGACTCCTGGAAAAGGCGTCGATCGATTGACCTGCAGGAAAAGAGGACGGTTTACACAGCCCCTCATTAAAAATATCTGCTGCCCTATTCGGTCTTTCGGTGAGTCTACACACGGGCTGCTGTACTGGATAAAGACAAAAGCAACGTCACATATATCCGCTCGATCATACATCTTTGGAATCCTTTTGAAACCCTTGCGGTACATTCAAAATTGGTTTCATGTTTATCACAGGAACCTTAAAGTTCATGCCACTCTCCGTCGTCACTCCAGAAAAACTTTCAGCGACGTCTGGCCTTCCGTTGCTAGTGCAGCTCAGATCAAGGGCTAGAAACAAACCTTCTTCAAGTTACAGAAAACCAAATCATGCACCAGAAGTCGTAGCGACGCCGAAGGCGTGAAAACTTATACTTTGGCAGCAGAATGGTGGCGCTCAAGGGGGGTCATTCGTGCCAGATAACCCGGCTCACAAGATTCTTGTCCGATTCAATTCGATTCGAGCAGCACCAGTTGACACATGCATTAAAGCTCCTCCAGTGTTGACGGAAGGAGTTGGGAAGTGAGACCTCCAAGAGGATAGAGTGGCTTATATTTTTGTGGCTACCGTTTACTGCATGTTCTGGATGGCTTGAGATTCATATATATATATATATATATATACATTAATAATAGAGACTTCTGGAATGCGCATCAGTTCAGTGATTTTACTTCATATTATCTTCAACTCTTGCAGATATACTACCTACACTTGATACACACAACCTATCATCCTGATTCGAATTATGTTATAATTAATCACGCGGTGAATATGTGACGATATGATCGTGCATCGTTTTTTGTTCGAAACTGGTGAGGTCAAGCGACTCAGGAACTAGACTGGACTTTCGCCGGTGTGATTTTCATCCATCCCGGCCCTGCCCGCAAAAACCCGCCCGCTGCCCTTAGCCCCTGCCCTGCCCTGCCCTAACCCCGCTAGCCAGGATTAGGATAACAACATGAATTAATGTTTACTTTAATTGTAGCACAATAATAATAATAATTTCTGAAATAATTTTTAAAAAATAGATTCATTATAAAATAATTTATTAAAATTACATTAGATACTTAATATTGTATTAAAATACCAATCATTATCATTATCTTTCACATCATTTTATTTAATATATTTATTGCATGATAAAAAAAATTATTTTTATATTTTTTATATATTATATAAAAGCCGCTAGGTAGACACCCTCTTTTTTACTATGTAGACACTCAGTGCAAGCCTATGAAACTAAAGCCACTCATTCAAAATTCAAATTCTTTGTCACCAACTTGTTTGTATTTCCAAACAAACATCTTGCCCAAATACACACAATAACAGCCATATTTCATAATCTATATATCTAAAATTGGAAGAAGTAGAGGCAACAATAAGAGCAAATATGAATGAGTTTGGATATGAGATACAATACTTGTGCAACAAAAAATCCAAGATTAATATCATATGTAAAGTTTAATTTTGTTGTGCAAAACATTTCTCATATATTAAAAAAATAACACTTATTTTAATCTTAAAAAGGGCCTCATATAAAAAACCAATTGACATAAATGCAAGTATTTCTTATATAAAACAACTTAAGGAAATAAATCAATAGGATAAAGCAAAGGAGACAAAAACCATCTTTGATTGGCTTCATATCTCATTGTTTTTATCAAAAGTGAAGTTGTTGCTACACGTTGCTGAGAATAGCATTGCAAGATCACTAAGCATGTAGCTTGGAAGCTCCCAATAATAATATTTAGTAAATATTTTTTGTGGCCAATAGTATGGATTTCTATAGTCTATAGAAATCTATCTTGCAATGAATAGATGGTACAAATGCAAGTATCCATAGAATTCTATCTTAGAATGAATAGATGATAGTAATAAGTTGTGGAAGCTGATTATTAAGATAAAGGACCACAATTATGATCTTACTCCAAATCTTTTTTCATATTTTACTGTATATTTTGTATCTTCTAATGATGTTGTTGCTATGAAACAAATAAGCAAAACATGAGCTACTATTAAAAAAACTATGTTTAGTATTTTCTAGTAAAATAATATTTTTTGATTCATTATTCAAGATACATATAATGCAAAATAATAATTGTAAATAGTTGACCTACAAGATTGTACTTCATTAAAAGCATTGTTGATTAAAATGCATGCAAACACTATTTTTATTGCTTTCAAATATAATGTTGTTGGGTGTTGCACACATTTATTTTTGAACTTAAAATTTTTTGTAGCTCTTGAAAAGAAATATTTAGAATTTTATTGGTAGATTTTATATTCAAAATCAATCAATGAATCTTTTTTCTTTATGTATATTTTAAAGGTCTTCATCTTACTACATGTTTGTGAAAGATGCCTTTATTGCATTGTCTTATCAATGTTATTACAATAGAAGAACTTGATAAAATAATGTGGATTTATAATGCTCTGAATTTAATGATTATTGATAGTTGATATTTTTTTTCTTATTTTATAAAGAATTATTTCTACTTGAATTTTTTTCTTTTTTGTATAAATCTTAAAATTGAGTTTTTTCAATTTTTAGCTTCTTCCATGGCATTGACAATATGCATGCATCAAATTTATATTTATGTTTAAGTGTGTATTATTTTCTTGTGTAAGTAAAATTCAATTTCTAATTAAATTGTTTTAGAAATTATCTGTATAGTTGGCATTAGATCTTTCTTGTGCATTCTAATATTTATCTTTTTATTTTTATTACTTGATCATGTTTAACATGCTTTTCTTCCACATTATTAGATATATAGCTACCAACATTTTCTTTTTTTATATTTGGTTTATATTTTATGCAAGACAAAAAAAATACAATTTTCTTGTAAGCCTTGAAACATATTTGAAATCTTTTAAGAGATAGAAAGGTACCATAGGTGATAATGAAAAATAGAGAACTTGCATTGATAGAAGCTATTGAGGAGGTTTTTAAAAATGTTGAAGCTAATTTATTTTGTATATGGTAGATTGAGAAGAGCATTTCAAAAAAAATTAAGTTATTTAAAACCATTGAATATTTTGAATCTTTCATGCAACATTAAAGAGATGATGTTTGCCTTGATATAGAGGAAAAATTTTAAACCTTGTGGATAGAGGTGTAAAGATTTCAAACCATTATGAAAGAAGTTATTGACTACTTGTAGGCAACTTGAGTCTCACATTAAGCTTGCTTTGTTTGCATGTGGATAAGAAAGGTGATGCATTTTAGGCATTTGGTTATCTTTAATATATATATATATATATATATATATATATATAAAAATAAAAAAAAAACTTTGATAATACAAAATAGATTGTGGTATTAACTAGGAACTTAAAAGATATATACAAAAAAATAATTCTATCCATAAAATATCAAGATTATGCTATATGTCATAGAATTACGTATAAATCTACCAAAATTTTATTACACTATATTTTTTATTAATGCATTTTTATTCAAAAACTCCTACTAGGCCTTATATAAGATTTTTGAAGAATTCAAAAAAAAAAAAAAAAAACAATAATAATAATAATAATAATAATAATAATAATAACAACTCATATAGTGGATAAATATATAATCTAAACTTGCATTTGTTTCTACCAAACAACAATAAGTATTTTATGTTTCTAAAACTTCATATTTTTAATTATTATCATCAACATTAGTGGTTAAACCACCTTCATTAGATGAAAAAATATCACACAATCCAAGCTTTAAAGATATGTTGTTGCAAATTACAATACTTCATGAAAAAGTTTTATTGCATCAAAAATTACTTTTGAAGTAATAGGTCCAAAACATTTTACAAACAAATCAAAATATAAAAAATCTATAATTTATACCTAAAAGAAAAAAACCTATTAGTAGTGTAGCTTCATTTTCCTCCTCTGACATCCAACAAAAACCTTTTTCATTTCAATTAGTATAGAATGAGAAAAGAAATTATTGAATGTAGTAACATTAAATATAATATGTGCAACTATCCATAATTATTAGAGGTACATAGATGTAAAATATAAAATAATGTTCTAATGATGATATTATTATGTGTTAACAAAGAGTGTGGCATAGGAAGAAAGAAGAGTGTCCACATAATAAAAAAATGGATGTTCAACTAGCAATTTCTTATTATATTTATTATAATCATTATATTCATTATAATAAAATATTCATATAATTATTTATTTTAATATTAATATTTATTATGAATATTATAATTATTAATTATGAAACATAAGATAATATTTTATAATATTTAATAATTGGTTCTTATATTATAATTCACTATAATATTAAATAAAATATTTAGATTTTATA